TCTAACAGTGTTTATTAAAGAGAGAGAGAAGCTCGTCTAAAACACACACACACACACACACACACACACACACACACACACAACATGAGTTTGCACTTAGGATGAAGCGTTCGTCTTCAAAACACTACAGTCAGACCTTTCCTCAAGTCTTCAATACGTCAACACATCACTCCTGCTGTGGGCCAGACATCAGAAACATGAGCGCACGCGTGTGTGTGTGTGTGTGTGTGTGTGTGTGTGTGTGTGTGTGTGTGTGTGTCTGGATGCCGATCTCCTGCAGTGTAACTGACAGGTGCTTGAAAATATGTTATTTTTAGTAATGTTATACTTTATATCACACTCTAAACAATACTGTAATATCTTTATTTTACACTTCAAAACAGACTTTTCCTACTGGAGTTTTTGTCTTGTTTCTAGTCCACATATCTACAAGTTCTTATTTAAAGAAGCATAAACAGTAAATACAGTGTTGTTTTCAGAAATAAAGAGTCAGAATGAAGAGAGATTCTCATGAATATGAGCCCGTATGTTCTGATAGACGCTCTGCTGTTTGTTTTGAAGATGAGGAGACTGTAGATCTTCAATATCAGCGTTCAGCACACTTACTGCTGATATGATGAACATGCAAATGTACATTAAAGCAAGGACATTCCTGCATGCTATAAACTCAATAATAGTTGAAATAAAGGTCTGCTCTTACGACTTCTTCACAGGCTTCAGCTGTAGAGTAGGCAGACAGGAATGGGTTTTCACTTTTGGAGCGCTCGAGTCGTGTTACACTGAGTAAACATTGTGCTAAACTGGGCAAGAGTTTCTGAGCGATGATCAGAAACAAATCTGGACAAACTACTTGCGGCATGAATGCATGATAGATTGTTTACAGATGACAGATGATAGAAAACTGAGTATTTGGGCAATATGTTTTGGTACTTCAGTGGTGGTTTTATCCATTCATTCATCCATTTGTTTATTTGTTTGTTTATTTATTGAACTCTAAATTAGTAAAGTTATAGTAAAAGTTTGATTTTCGATATAAAGTTTGAGTGTCATGGGAGCAAAAGGGTTTAACCGAGTAAGAGTAAATCTAAAGCTTAATACATTTTTACAAGATGTTTTGCTAAATTTGCAAGTTTAGCAAACAAACAGAATATTAACAAGTGACTAACAAATTTTCCACATAATAATAGTATTATTGTTATCATTATTTATTATTTATTTTTATTATTTATAATTGTATTATTGTTATTATAATTATTATTATTATTATTATTATCATTTTTTATTATTAATAATAATTATTATAATTTTATTGTTATTGTTATTTATTTTAAATGTGTTATTAATATTATAATTATTTTATTCATTCTTTTCTTTTCTTTTTTATTTTATATTATTTTATTTTATTTAATTTAATTCTCTCTTAACATTATTATTTATTTTTATTTAATTGATTCTTAATTTTCATTTTATTTATTTTTTATTTTATTTTATTTTCTCTCAACATTATTATTTCTTATTTTTTATTTATGTTTATTTATTTTATTATTTTTTATTTTTTTATTTCATTTAATTTTACTTAAGTAAATGTAATTTAATTGAATTTAAATCTCTCTCAACTGTTGTTATTATTATTATCAAGTATTATTTATTTATTTTATTCATTATTTTATTTTATTTTTATTTTACACATTTTAATTTTTAGATTAATTTAATTCTCTCTCAACTGTTATACTTATTATTATTTCTTTATTCATTTTATTTATTGTTTTATTTTTTATTTCATATTAAATTTACAGCAGAATAGCTTGTTAAGAAAATGTAAATGTTTAATATCTTATAAAGTATATAAAAAATTACTTTTACATTTGATGAGAGATCCTTTAAACTTAAAGAGAAATTCATATGTTTAAGGCAAACAACTCTTTAATTGGTCGTTTTTATTTTAAATTTATTGGAGAACATTAAAAAAGTAAAACAACACTGTGTGGAACAAATACATTAAAAAAAGACTAGAATTTCTGAAGAAACCTTACAGTTACTTGCTAAAATGTAGAGTGTGTTTGCCGATGTGACCAAACAAGCAAATACTACATTTCAGTGAGTGACTGGTAAATGTGAACGCAACATAACGTATATGTTATGACCCTAACCCTATCAGTCAAACACAACACTAATAGAAACAACTGCTCAGTTTTGGGGAGTGAGCAAATAAATTACACTAAGAAAGAAGTATATCAAGTGAAGTATATTAAATGAAGTATACTGAGCAAGCCGTTCTCTCGGAGTAAAGGAAGAGTTCTGTAAGACCAAGACTAAGTTTTCACATACAAACGTCATCAATTTCAGAAACAGCCAGTACAGCTTCTGTAGAAATGACATTAAACTAATGTAGAATATTGTACTTTCTTAAACCCCGTTCTGTAAACACACATCCCCACACACACATTAACCTGCGCTCACACTAGAGCCTGTGCATGTATATTATTCAATGGACGACGATATTAATCCTTCTTATTTATCTGTGGGACTACATTTACTCTCACACACACACACACACACACACACACACACACACACACACACACACACACACACACACACACACACACACACACTCTCTCACTCTCATTCTCACTCTCACTCTCACTCTCACTCTCTCTTACCGGAGCTGAACGCAGGTGCGGGTGGCTGCAGTGTGTGCGTGTCGGACCCTGGAGGTCGCAGGTCGATGTGTGCGGCGGTCTTTCGCTGCAAAAACAACACCAATATATAAATAACAGCAGCATATTCACACACTCAGGAATGTCCTGCTTTCTCAGATGCTCAAACACACACACACACATAGCTATATCAGACACTGACGACAATGAAGCGTCCAGTGCACACTAGATAGTGTTCAGATAGCGTGACAGATGTGAGTCGGTGCTAAATAGCCAAGAATGATCAACACCATCAGCATTGTTGAAGATCCAGAGAAATTAAAACTGACCGCGATGAACTGCATCCAAAACAAAAGCCTGTGTTTACATATTTACATCATTATATAGAATATATAAGTCAGAGTTATTCGCCCTGCAGTGAATTTTGTGAAATATTCCCCAAATGATGATGAACAGATTGAGGAGTTGTTCTCAGTGTTTCCTCTAATGTTTGTTCTTCTGGAGAAAGTCTGATTAGTTTTATTTGGGCTAGAATAAAAGCAGTGTTTAATAGTGTTAAAGTCATGTTAAGCTCAATATTATTCACCCCTTCAGCAATATTAGTGTTGGATTGTCTCCAGAACAAACCACTGTTATACAATGACTTGCCTAATTACCCTAACTTTACCCTAATTACCCTAGTGAAGCCTTTACATGTCACTGTAAGCTGAACACTAGTGTCTTGAAGAATATCTAGTCTAATATTATGTGCTGTCATCATGATGAAGAGGAAACACATCAGCTATTAGAGATGAGTTATTAACACTGGTATGATTAGGAATCTTCTCTCCGTTAAACAGAAATTGGACATACAGGAGGGTGAATAAATCAGTCTTCAAATGAATAATGTCAGTGTTTTGAGTCCCTCACATACAGTATATATACAGTACAGTTCAGCATGGGTTCATATCAGTCAGGGTGTCGCTTTATAAGACAGTGAGGTTTTCAATCACAGCTAGAAATGAATCTGCTCACCTGAGGTAGGACACTGTTGGAAGACTTTGCAGAGACATCCACATCTGCAGCAGAGACTCAGTTATTCAACATAATTAAAGTTACATATGGTACAATCCTCACACAGGAACAGATCTCGAAAACACATGCACATGATCATTTATAAAGCAGATTTACCAGTGCATATCCTGTGATGTGACTACAGCCAGTGATCACACTACTGTACTGATGCTGAAACATACCCTGTGCAGCCCTCATCACTCATTTTCTTTTTCAGCTCAGTCGCCACAGAGGAATGAACCGCCAACTTTTCCAGCATATGTTTTACGCAGCGGATGTCCTTCCAGCTGCAACCCAGCACTGGGAAACACCCAAACACACTCATTCACACTCATACACTACAGACGATTTAGCCTACCCAACTGACCTGTAGTGCATGTGTTTGGACTGTGGGGGAAGCGGGAGCTGTGCAGCCCTCATGCAAACCTCTATTAGTGAACAGAAAGCCTGTGCGTACCAGTTCTGCTGTGTGTGTTGTTGGGAGTTTTGGTCTGTGCAGTGACCAACAGCTCGTATGTGTGATCTTCCTCCTCCAGAGGCTCGATTCGCTCATCCACACTGCTGTTAGTGTAAATCGCCTACAGGAGACAGAGAGAGATATTAAAGATTCTGTCAAACTAAAACACAGTTTTCTAGGTGTCAGTATCAGAATCATTATCATCTATAATCCAAGACAGTGACAAAACTCACATCTAAAAGACTTAAACCTGATGTAAAGTTTGCAGTTTGTCTCTTCTGCCTAAATGCATCAATGGTTTCTTCATACTTCAGTTTCACATCAGATCTTCTGACCAATCAAACGCTCTCTAGTGTCTGACATGCCCCGCCCCCTTCTTCTCATTGGCTGTTCATTTGATGCGCTTGAGCTCAAACACTCTCACTGGCAGAGCTTCAGGAAAATTTAATCGCTATTGGTTGCTTTTGAAAAGAAGGAGCTACTGTATGCCCCGCCCTCTTACGTCAAACATCTAATAATAATGCACATTTCAGAGCACTTCACAGCACCTAGTTCAACCAAGAAATCTGTCGTCATTTACTCTCCCTTGACTCAAACCTTCATGAGCTTTTTCCTCTGTTCAGGACAAAAGAAGATATTTTGATGGATGCTGAAGACCGGTCACTTCCATAACTTCATAGTATTTATTTTTCCTTCTATGAAAGTCAATGGTTACCCATTTTCAGCATTCTTTAAAACATCTACTTTACTTTAGTGTAAAGGAGTAAAGTAATGAGTAAAGTTAAGGAGTAAAGGAGTAAAGTAAAGAGTAAAGTAAAGAGTAAAAGAGTAAAGGAGTAAAGTAAAGAGTAAAGTAAAGAGTAAAGTAAAGAGTAAAAGAGTAAAGTGAAGAGTAAAAGAGTAAAGTAAAGAGTAAAAGAGTAAAGTAAAGAGTAAAGTAAAGAGTAAAAGAGTAAAGTAAAGAGTAAAGTAAAGAGTAAAAGAGTAAAGTAAAGAGTAAAGTAAAGAGTAAAGTAAAGGAGTAAAGTAAGGAGTACAGGAGTAAAGTAAAGGAGTAAAGTAAAGAGTAAAGTAAAGAGTAAAGGAGTAAAGGAGTAAAGTAAAGGAGTAAAGTAAAGAGTAAAGTAAAGAGTAAAGGAGTAAAGGAGTAAAGTAAAGGAGTAAAGTAAAGAGTAAAGTAAAGAGTAAAGGAGTACAGGAGTAAAGTAAAGGAGTAAAGTAAAGAGTAAAGTAAAGAGTAAAGGAGTAAAGGAGTAAAGTAAAGGAGTAAAGTAAAGAGTAAAGTAAAGGAGTAAAGTAAAGAGTAAAGGAGTAAAGGAATAAAGTAAAGAGTAAAGTAAAGAGTAAATGAGTAAAGTAAAAAGTAAAGTAAAAGAGTAAAGTAAAGAAATAAAGTAAAGAGTAAAGTAAAGGAGTAAAGTAAAGGAGTAAAGTAAAGAGTAAAGGAGTAAAGTAAAGAGTAAAGGAGTAAAGGAGTAAAGTAAAGAGTAAAGTAAAGGAGTAAAGTAAAGAGTAAAGTAAAGGAGTAAAGTAAAGAGTAAAGGAGTAAAGGAATAAAGTAAAGAGTAAAGTAAAGAGTAAAGGAGTAAAGTAAAAAGTAAAGTAAAAGAGTAAAGTAAAGAAATAAAGTAAAGAGTAAAGTAAAGAGTAAAGTAAAGGAGTAAAGTAAAGGAGTAAAGTAAAGAGTAAAGGAGTAAAGGAGTAAAGTAAAGAGTAAAGGAGTAAAGGAGTAAAGTAAAGAGTAAAGTAAAGGAGTAAAGTAAAGAGTAAAGGAGTAAAGTAAAGAGTAAAGTAAAGGAGTAAAGTAAAGAGTAAAGTAAAGAAGTAAAGTAAAGAGTAAAGGAGTAAAGTAAAGAGTAAAGAAAAGAGTAAAGGAGTAAAGTAAAGAGTAACGGAGTAAAGGAGTAAAGTAAAGAGTAAAGTAAAGAGTAAAAGAGTAAAGGAGCAAAGTAAAGAGTAAAGGAGTAAAGTAAAGAGTAAAGTAAAGAGTAAAAGAGTAAAGGAGTAAAGTAAAGAGTAAAGGAGTAAAGAGTAAAGTAAAGAGTAAAGTAAAGGAGTAAAGTAAAGAGTAAAGTAAAGAAGTAAAGTAAAGAGTAAAGGAGTAAAGTAAAGAGTAAAGAAAAGAGTAAAGGAGTAAAGTAAAGAGTAACGGAGTAAAGGAGTAAAGTAAAGAGTAAAGTAAAGAGTAAAAGAGTAAAGGAGCAAAGTAAAGAGTAAAGGAGTAAAGTAAAGAGTAAAGTAAAGAGTAAAAGAGTAAAGGAGTAAAGTAAAGAGTAAAGGAGTAAAGAGTAAAGTAAAGAGTAAAGTAAAGGAGTAAAGTAAAGAGTAAAGGAGTAAAGGAGTAAAGTAAAGAGTAAAGGAGTAAAGTAAAGAGTAAAGTAAAGAGTAAAGGAGTAAAGTAAAGAGTAAAAGAGTAAAGTAAAGAGTAAAGTAAAGAGTAAAGGAGTAAAGTAAAGAGTAAAGTAAAGAGTAAAGGAGTAAAGTAAAGAGTAAAGGAGTAAAGGAGTAAAGTAAAGAGTAGAGTAGTAAAGTAAAGAGTAAAGTAAAGGAGTAAAGTAAAGAGTAAAGGAGTAAAGGAGTAAAGTAAAGAGTAAAGGAGTAAAGTAAAGAGTAACGGAGTAAAGGAGTAAAGTAAAGAGTAAAGTAAAGAGTAAAAGAGTAAAGGAGTAAAGAAAAGAGTAAAAGAGTAAAGGAGTAAAGTAAAGAGTAAAGTAAAGGAGTAAAGTAAAGAGTAAAGGAGTAAAGGAGTAAAGTAAAGAGTAAAGGAGTAAAGTAAAGAGTAAAGTAAAGAGTAAAAGAGTAAAGGAGTAAAGTAAAGGAGTAAAGGAGTAAAGTAAAGAGTAAAGGAGTAAAGTAAAGAGTAAAGTAAAGAGTAAAAGAGTAAAGGAGTAAAGTAAAGGAGTAAAGAGTAAAGTAAAGAGTAAAGGAGTAAAGAGTAAAGTAAAGGAGTAAAGTAAAGAGTAAAGTAAAGAGTAAAGTAAAGAATAAAAGAGTAAAGCCTGCCCAATTCACCTGTACCGCATGTCTTTGGACTGTGTGGGAAACCGGAGCACCCGGAGGAAACCCACGCGAATGCAGGGAGAACATGCAAACTCCACACAGAAACACCAACTGAGCCGAGGCTCCAACCAGCAACCCAGCAACCTTCTTGCTGTGAGGCGACAGCACTACCTACTGCGCCACTGCGTCGCCCTGTATATATGTATCTTGTTTCTCAGCATATGGGCAAAGTGATATTCAGTGCTTTATTATATGGTGTCCTCATCCACACTGGCTTATAGATGTGTTTCAGTCTGTTAATAGAGCAGTGATGTGTAGATGTTAGTGTGTAGAAACACTGCTGTATCAACACTATGAACTAGTGAATGATATATGGTGGTTTACAGTAAATATTTCTGATAATGTATGCTTTTAACAGTATAAATACACTGAAATTTGACGGGTTTGTATTATTAGAGAGTAGAAGGCTCTGATCTGCATCTTGAGCGTTTGCTAAAACAGACGGTGAAGTGTTGACGCTGCTGCAGTGTGTTAGTTTAGTTCTGTCAGACAGACGGTGTGTGTGTGTGTGTGTGTTTGCGGTGTGTGTTGCAGAGCATTAATATTGATGAGGACGCTGTTTGATTTGTGCAGACGTGCGGAAACAGAAGTCAGTGAGAGGAAAGACAGATTCACCGCCGCAATACGCAATACTCTGCTCTCCACGCTGTCTGTGCAACAAGGTTACCTCAGTCAAACTAAACTGAAACTACCGCTGCAAACACAATCTTCTTCACTACATTTCTTTTCAGCATAGTCCCCTCAATAATCAGGGGTCGCCACAGAGGAATGAACCACCAACTTATCCAGCATATGTTTTACTCAGTGGATGCCCTTCCAGCTGCAACCCAGTACTGGGAAACACCCATACACACTCATT